AAAGTCTAACTCAGTTCAACAATTGCAATAGGTTTTAAACCTTTAAAACCTAGGTTTTGAAATTCAGACTGTATTAGGCAAAAGCTATGAATTAGAGACAAACGAGCTCTCTCTTTGAAATGGTTAGGAGATTGTTCAGGAGAAGATTGTTCAGGAGAAGATTGTTCAGGAGAAGATTGTTCAGGAGAAGATTGTTCAGGAGAATATTGATCAGGAGAAGATTGTTCAGGAGAAGATTGAGCAAGAAGATTGATATATTAGAATATATTAGGTTGGTGCAGATGAAACTTCCGTTGGAAGCAGAAACAAAAACAAACAAAACAAATTTATTATAAAAATCCTAATGCAGAACCTCAATCCAAAAGATATTCGTCACCATTATCAATGGCTCTTTGCCATCTTCCAGAATGGATGCCCTTTTCGAAGAACTCAGGCAACTGCGACGCATGAGTCCTAGATATCAAAAGACGCGCAAAGAGACGCTTTTCCTGTTAGACAAATATATTCAATAAAAACTTTTATTGAATAAAGTCAGGTCCAAAATATAAACAAACAAGTGTGACGGAAGTTTTGCACCAACCTTATAGAAATTGAGGATTTGAAGTCTGACAGTCTGAAAGTTTGAAGTCTTTGAAGGCGATTTGAAGTCTGATTGCACGTTCTAAAAGCTATGAATGCAACAAACGCGATTTGAAATGAATGTTGGGAATGGCGAGAGGTGCAGAAGGTAGGGGGGAATTGGATTTGACTGTTTGATTGCTGCAGGCTTGCGTGAGTAAAATACAAGATGAGCATTGCAACAATTGGCAATAAGCTACCTCTATTAGTTCTATTATTAAATCTATTAGTTCTATTAGTTCAGAAAGTCTTTTTGTTTCTTTTCGTACTTTCATTTGCAGCTAACAAACGCCAACAAACGCCAACAAACGCCAACAAACGCCAACAAATACACCAGCTTTCAAACAAAAATGATCAGACAATCAAATCAGCTTTTTAATAAAGAAGTGAAGGAATTGGAAAAAGTAGAGAATGAATTGAACTATCGATCTTTTGCTTTCCAGGCAATTGCTCTAACTACTGCCAGGCTCTAACCACTGCCAGGCCCTAACCACTGCCAGGCTCTAACCACTGAGCTATCCGGTACCTTAACTTGCCAAGAGAAAGAAGGAAAGAAAGAAAGAAAGAAAGAAAGAAAGAAAGAAAGAAAGCAATCAACATTTCAAACATTTTATCTCACTCAATTGAGATCTGTGAGTACAAAAAACTTCTAAGTTTCCTAAACAAAAACGAGACTTTAAACCAAGTCCAAACCTTTGATTTTTCATTAACTTTTCTTTAAGAAGTTGAGTATTTTGAAACAAGCAATCAACGATTCACTTATTTGATTGGTTTTTTTTTGTCATTTGATAGCCACGGACACATCTGGTGAATGGGTCAAATCACAATTGATTAGTGAGAACAAGAACGACTTTTTTCAATCAGATCAAAAGTTTAGATTGTTTAGATTGTTTAGATTGTTTACCCTGTAGCCTTTTCGTTTGCAATTTGTACACTTGGGTATTTCAGATTGTGTTTTAATTGCGATTAATACGTTTTCTTTAATCGATTAATGAATTTTTTCAAGGAGAATAAACTCTGATTTGATTTTTTAGCATTTCAAAATTTGCATGTTTCAAATTAAGGTTAATTTAGTCTCGATTTTTTGCAGTAATTCATGAGCCTTTTTTTGTTACTTTTCAAACATTTTATCTCACTCGATTGAGGTTGAGTTGATCGATTGAGATCTGTGAGTTCCTCAGTGATCCCTCTCAGCTAAAGGATTTTCTAAAACATCTTTCTCACCTTTCTCATTCTACCGTAATCTAATCTCTTTTTTATTTAATCTCTTTTTATCCAATCTACCGTATTTCTTCGAATAGAAGACCGGGCAAAGAGTATCATCGCGTACTCCTGCGTAGCAGCCCTTTTTAAAACTTCTTTTCTGCATAAAAGCTTTCAATCAAGTGCCATAGGGCTGAAAAATGGCTCAAAAATCTGTTAGCTCATGTGGTATTTTTGAGATATTTTTCAGCTCTATAGCACTTGATTGAAAGCTTTTATGCAGAAAAGAAGTTTTAAAAAGGGCTACTACGCAAGAGTACGCGATGATACTCTTTACCCGGCCATCTATTCGAAGAAATACGGTATTCACTTGGATTCTGTAAGAGTTCAAAAAGGATATCGAAAGATATAAAAAGTGGATAGCTTGCGGGTAAAAAAGAGACAAGGTAGAAAAGGCGTAGAAAAGGCGTAGAAAAAGGCGTAGAAAAAGACGTAGAAAAAGACGTAGAGAAAGAAAGTGGACACGGTTTAGAAAACATATCACTTGAGGGGAACAGATTCAATCAATTACTTGACAACCCGATTGACATCCAATCACTGTCGTTTTGCCACGTTTCCTTGTAACAATAGTCCGCCGTTGAGTTCGAGTCAGTCGTTCGATCTTTCTGTAAAAGTGTTCAATCGTTTTTTTACTATTAAATCTCATTTAAATGCGCTATTTCTCTGCCCAAACTATTCAATTTACTAAATCTGGTATTGTTTTTGGTATTGTTGGTATTGTTGGTATTGTTGGTATTGTTGGTATTGTTGGTATTGTTGGTATTGTTGGTATTGTGGTATTGTTGGTATTGTTGGTATTGTTGGTATTGTTGGTATTGTTGGTATTGTTGGTATTGTTGGTATTGTTGGTATTGTTGGTATTGTTGGTATTGTGGTATTGTTGGTATTGTTGGTATTGTTGGTATAAATGTTATTGTTTTTTTTCCTTTCTTCCGATTAATTGCAAACTTAATTGGCAAACTATAATTCAAATTTTTGTATTTTATGAATCTTTTTGTTATGCTTTACTGAAATAAAGAATATTGAATTGAATTGAATTGAATTGAGTCAATAGCTCGATTCTCTAAAAAGTCTAAACTGAGCGCTCGAGTTTATACAACTTTTTGCCATCAATAGTTTAGGGAAAAGGGTCACATATGGACGGAAAATGGAAAAGACTTCTTCGAAGAGTTTCATTGTTTCAAATTTTTTCCCTATTTGATTTATCAGTAGATTAAAGTATTATTTGATTGAATATCTTTTGAATTTTTGTTAATTTTCTTTTATAATTGGTTTGATTAGTTCTTTGGCAGGCAGGCGGCTTGAATTGAAACTCTTATATTTATTTTCCTATGCAATTATTGGCCGTTTCCTCTGAGGCTTTCTTTGAGCAGTTTTTCAGTTTACAAAATCTATTATATAAAAGAGAAGTGTCCGTGCGTATTCGTCTGTCCGTCCGTCCGTCCGTCCGTCTGTCCGTCTGCTCGTCTGTCCGTCCGTCTGTCCGTCCGTCTGTCCGTCCGTCTGTCCGTCCGTCCGTCCGTCCGTCTGTCCGTCCGTCTGTCCGTCCGTCTGTCCGTCCGTCTGTCCGTCCGTCTGTCCGTCCGTCTGTCCGTCCGTCTGTCCGTCCGTCTGACGGGGTTTAGATTGCGCAGAGAACGCGAAAGTTAGTGAGCGTTTTCCGCTATTATATAAAAGAGAAGTGTCCGTCTATCCGTATGTCCGTCGGTCTGTCTGCCCGTCCGTCCGTCCGTCCATCTATTTGTCTGTCCGTTCGTCTCTCCTCATGCTCTGGATCTCGGCTCCCCATGAACCGATTTCGACAAACTTTTTTTTGATCGATAGAGAATTAAAAATGAATAGGCACATACTTTTTGGTGAAAACAAGTTTTTGATCAAAAACCTGTAGAAAAATCAGAAAAACCACTCATCCACGCCCTTTTTGCCTTCGGCGGACCTTGGGAGGGCGTGGTGGAGGTGGTTAGCGTCCCGATTACAAAACGACGGCCTTAAGGGGGTGTCGGGCTCGATTTCCTGTTCGATTCCAAACTTATTTTGCTTTTTAGTTTTTAGGCGTGGAGTTGAAGTGCAATTTGAGTTGCCTTGCTGCGAAGGTATCGTTACAGGGATCTCGAAGGGAGTCTCCAGAAATAAGCCATTTTTAGCCCGTTTTAATGTGATTTTACAAAAAAATAATTGACCTTTCTAATGAAATAAACTGTAGTTCAATTGTTCAATTGGTGCATTTGTTGATTTTAAATAAAAGTACGAAAAGGAACGAAAAGACTTTCTGGAAAGCCGAATATTATTGGGTTTGGAGGAGGGGAAATGGTGCCGAACTTTAAAGACATTTTTTTGCCTTCTTTAAATTTTTGCCATAAAGCTTACTTTAAATACATCTTTTATTTCATCAAAAGGATCCACTATTTCTCTACAAAATGACTTTTGAGAGATTCCATAAAGCTTTTCTTTCGTGGAGTTTATGGACTCTCAAACAAAGCTCGCTCAAAATGGCAAAGAGTTTGACTCATCGTTTGAACAGTTTCTTCCACATAAACCTTCTTTGAGTGTCTAAATAAAAAAGATAGAGCACACTCAATTACATAAGTTGGCAAATTTTTAGAAAGATTCCTTCAACCGTTTTCTCTAGATGATAGATTTTGTGAAAAAAAATGGCTTGTGTTGAGATGAGGCGCTGTTTGAGTTCTCTTTTAAATGGTTTTGTTGGGAATTAGTTAAGCTTTTTACTGATGTCAAACGCGCTAGAAGTTTGCCAGAATTTTTAGAAATTTCTTTGATTTTTGAGCAGTATTTCATTCTCCTAACCGAATAATTGTTTTTGTCGTCGTAGGGGCCATGGCGCATTGATTTCTTGAAATCTTTCAGTACTAACCCGATCTTGAAACTCACTTTTTAAAATCCTTTATTTCTTTTATTTATCTCTTTTATTACGAGTTTATCTTGTTTTTGTTTTTGTTTTTGTTTTTTTTTGTTTTTTTTTCTTTTTTTTCTTTTTCTTTTTAACTTTTATTAAACAAATTTGTGTTTAAAGAAGCAAATTTTCAGCTTTTTTTTTGTTTCGAACTTTTATTAAACAAATTTGTGTTTAAAGATGCAAAGTATTTCAGTTTCAAGCGTCAATGCATTTCTTTCTAATACTTTTCTTTCTCCTGCGGAAAGGATTCTCTCAAGAGGTGCGGTTTTCAAAAAAAAAACTTAACAATGACTAGAAGGTTTAGAAATCTAAGTCTAAAGCTCAGAAATCGATTTCACAAAGCATATAGGTTTAGATTTTTAGGTTTACATTTAATTTAAATAGCCTAAAATATCGGGTTTTTAGGCTGAACGCTCAAACGCCGGGATCTACTTTCGTTTGAATCAAAAAGCCGTCAATTATATTGCGAATTTGACCGAAGAAGCGATGCCACAAGTGAGTTTTGAGAATAAAAATCATTTCTCGACAAGTTTGAGTCATTCTCTAGCCAGTTAAACCTTAAATCATTTCAATAGACTTTCGAAATTTAATATGGCTTTACTTCAAGCTCAATTCTAGCTCAACTCAAGCTCAACTCAAGCTCAATTCTAGCACAATTCAAGCTCAATTCAAGCTCAATTCTAGCTCAAATTATTCAAGAAAGTCAAGAAACGATTTTATTCATTTCTTTTGTTCAGTTTGTACTATTTGAGCTTACATGTTGTTTGGCAGGCAAAAAATGGGTATTGATTTTGTTATTGGGTTAGGTTTCAATAATTTTTTGACGAAATTTTGATATCTCGGATCCCTTTTTGTCACCAAATTCACATTCTAGCATAAAACATGGCATTGTTTTGTAAATTGCTTTGTAACTTGCCTTGTACTTGCCTCGTAAAACCAGGCAAGTACAAGGCAAGTACAAGGCAATTTTTTAAATCCATTAAGCATATTTTCTATAAAAAAAGAGCTACTTATCACTTCTAGATTCTCGAAAAAATGCAATTCCCAACGCAACAAGCCGGCCCGGCAATTATCAGTCAGCTGACAATCGAGCGATTTCAACGACCAATCATTGAAGCGGACTTTGTCGAGAATCGAGGTTTATGAGAAATCCGGTTTCAAGCTAGACTATAAACAAGTTTTGATTATGAAAATGATTAGATATCCTTTCAAAACAATATCAAATCAAAAAAGGATACTTTTAACAACACTGCTAACACCGCAAAAACAAAATTTTCATTAGGTGTCTCGGCTCAAGTCATTCTCCCGTTGATCAAAGTGAGCGCAAATGCAGAAGTCGACATCTTCTTGATCCTCTCAACGAATGGTAACATATGCTGGATTCAAACTTGAACTTTATTAGGCAATCTGATAGTCGAATTGTTGAGAGACCTAATTGTTGTTGTTGAATCTAATTGTTGATTTGCTGATAGACCTATTGATGTTCGTTGTTTGGTTTATTACTTCATCCCAACCCCTTTTGTAATTCTGTAAATTGAAACAAGCTTTTTATCAACCTAAACATATTAGATTGATGGAAAACTTGCTTTCTATTTTTATTCTTTATGGATTACCGTATTCTCTCTAATACTAGTGCATCCTAAGCTTCGTCTAAATTCCTTGAAATCTTGAGAACCGCTTATGGGAGCCTATCGATGTGGGGTCGGAAAATGTAGCTGACGATGAGATCTAGTGGGGGATTTGAGTGTTGAGCTACCGCAAAAGCTTGGAAACCGTAAAATAGGCATCAACTCGGCTCGCCGGGGTGCACTACTATTAGAGAGAATACGGTAATTTAAATGAGATAAAACTAACCAAGAACTCATTGGATCTGATACTATTTTGATGGAAAATGTTGAGTAAAACAATAACCATACAGTACTAAAGATATTAAGTTAATGAATAAGTCTTTTCATTCGTTTTCACTCTCGAATTTGCTTTGTTTTGTAAGTGAACTGAAATTTGGCTTAAAAAGATGGCAAATTGAAGAAGAAATTGATTCAAATTGATTTAAAAAGATGGAAATTGATTCAAATTGATTTAAAAAGATAAAAATCGACCAAGAAATTGATTTAGATTGACTTAAAAAGATGGAAATTCATCCAAATTGGCTTAAAAAGATGAAAATTGAACCTTTTCTTCAGAAAAAAACCATAGATTAATTGATGAATTTGTTATTTTTTAACGAAAGTATGAAAAGAAACGAAAAGCTTTATTCGCCGATCATTCTAACTGACATTAATCCATAACTTTTCAAGTTTACACCAAAGCAACTAATCTTCTTTGATTTAGAAACTTTTGAAATCGAATTCAAAAACCTAACGATCAATATGGATGTTTATTTCGCCAGAGATCCGATAAAGAATCGGAATATCATCGAGGTGAGAAAAGGAGTGATAATGCAGCTCAAAACATTTTCTAGATTCCTAATTGCAATGTGACGGCATTCAGTTTCAAGGGGATTTTCAATCAAAGCCTCCAATTGCATCTGTTTCAAGATATGATCAAAGATATGGTCACAAATATGCTACAAGACAAGGTAGCATCTTTGATTAACATTTTGAAACTCAAGGGTTCGCTCTCTGAAAGTTTAGAAGATCTTTCAACTCATTGATAAACCAAACTACAGGATTTTCCAATAGAAAAAAGACTTTGCAACTTAAATTTATGAAAAAGTGACTCAGATGGTGGTCTTGGTGTGAAAAGTTTTGCTTCGGGAGGTAAATTTCTCACCACCATCACCAAGGGGAAATTCAAAGCTCACCCACGGAAAATAAACTCTTTTAAGCATTCCTTTTTCACAAGATTTCTAAAATAAATGATTTAGTGTCATACAAAAAGACTCTTGTACTTTGAAAAAAGCAAATGAAAGCAATCGGAAAGTGAAATTTAGTAATGAATGCTATAGGTGTAGTGATTAAAGTTGTCCGAATTGTCAGCAGGAGATCCGAGAGATCCAATTTGGCTAATTTGGCTTATTTATTTTAAAGCCTAACTAAAAGTGTAACTAAAAGCTCAACTCAACTAGAATTATGTTTATTTTTCGTTATTTCATTTGCTCTGTCTTTGCTTAAACGTGAAACAGAACCCTCTATCTTGATCTCAAAAAAACTTTGAGAATTCGTTTCTTTTAGCTAATAATAAGACTGAGTTTTTCAATAAAATAAATAGAGTTGTTAGAAAATATTGGGTTGGTGAATGGAAAACTGCGAAACTTTGAACTAAAATTTATTCAACATAAAACCATGAATTCATTCCAAATAATTTCCATTATTATTGACGACTTCTGTCCATTTTACAGGCAATTTGCGGATTCCTCTTTCGTAGTAGGATTTTGGTTTGTGTGTGAGACAAGTGTGAGACTCAAAAATGGAGATGTCCCAGTTTGAGCATTTGAGCACTTTCTTCAAAAGAAACCCATTTTGGTGTCAATAGAAAAGTTGTAGAGAATCAAAAATTAGGCTTATAGCCAAATTTCCAAAAAGATACACTTAGGAGTTTCGCTTAAAATGCAAGTTTAGTGAAAATTGGCATTTCTTGAATTTGGCAATTTGGCATTTCTTGAAAACCAGTTTTTGAATCGCTCTGAAAATTTGGATATAAGCTTCATTTTTGATTCTCTACAACTTTTCCATTGACACCAAAATGGGTTTCTTTTGAAGAAAGTGCTCAAACTGGGACATTCCTCCATTTTTGAGTCTCCAGTCCTCCATTTTTGAGTCTCCAGTCCTCCATTTTTGAGTCTCCAGTCCTCCATTTTTGAGTCTCCAGTCCTCCATTTTTGAGTCTCACACTTGTGTCACACACAAACCAAAATCCTACTACGAAAGAGCATCCGCAAATTGCCTGTAAAATGGGCAGAAGTCGTCAATAATAATGGAAATTATTTGGAATGAATTGATCGTTTTATGTTGAATAAATTTTATTTCAGAGTCCCGCAGTTTTCAATTCACCAACCTATAAGCTTAATTTTTGATTCTCTACAACTTTTCCATTGACACCAAAATGGGTTTCTTTTGAAGAAAGTGCTCAAATGCTCAAACTGTGACATCTGACAATAGCCGGCAGTTTTCAATTCATCAATCCAATAGATGCGGTTGTATAATGATGTAGAACTATCGTAAACTACTCCATCATGCTTTGCCCAGCGATAAAGAGCTGCACCAACGAGTCTTCAACTAAAATCTCTGAAGCTTTCCATTTGGTTTGTTTAGTTGGAACCAGGGCAGATCAAAAATCCGTGCGCCGCCGGGACTCGAACCCGCGATTTTTCGCTTACCGAACGACTGTGCCAACCATTACACCACAATTATTAACCTTTTTGCAGTTTTTTTTATATTAAATAGCCAATTAAGCAAATTGTTTAGCTATTTTTAAAGATCTTTATCAAGAAAGCCAAGATTTTATCAAGAAAACCAGTTTTTACTTTCAAATCTTCCACTTTAGATTTGTCAAACGACACTTGATGCGATTAAATATGTGGACGAGCAAGAGATTCAACCGGTTTAAAAAAGTATTTGAAGATTTTAAACAAAAAAATCTAGACTCCAAAGACTACTCCACCTCCAGCGGAGAATGCGGCCGGGGGAATGGCCTCAGGATTCGGGAGCAGTCTGTGTGCAATTGATAGGTGTGTTAAGATTTCAGTGGTTAGATATTAGATCTAGTTCAGCAACTGTTCCCATTTTATTTGCAGAATTGAAACCGATGAAGATGACGAGGAGACTCCGATCACAACGAAAGCCCCGCTAAACTCTCATCCGGTCACCTGGGGAGTCGATCTGACGCTAAACTATCCGCCGAAATTCTCGAAAGATGTGAGTTTCAAAAGATCTTGAAACATGTACATTACATTGTTACATTAAAGCTTTAATTGACAAGTGAAGACAAGCAAAGGCCAGCAAAAGACAAGCAAAAGTCGAGCAAAAGACAATTAAAGCATCTTTTCAGAAAGCAAAAGCAAAAGCAAAAGCTCAAGGGTTCAATTTTCTATCAATTCCTCTTTGTTTCCCATTTCCTTTTTCATTTTTCAAATTTAGGATGTGGTTTTCGGTGTTGATGGTGGTGTGTTGTTGAATGAAAAATCGGCATTGGACGTTGAAAAACCCCATCAATTAAACACGAGTCTTTTGGATGAAAAAGTAAACATTCTTGTCAAATAATAGCTTACAATAGCTTCAAATAATAGCTTACAGCTTAAATAATAGCAGTAATTGTCAAATAATAGCTTACAATATTAGACAGTTATCCAGAGATTAGACAGTTATCCAGAGATTAGACAGTTATCCAGAGATTAGACAGTTATCCAGAGATTAGACAGTTATCCAGAGATTAGACAGTTATCCAGAGATTAGACAGTTATCCAGAGATTAGACAGTTATCCAGAGATTTACTAATGCTATTAGTTTGAAAAAGAGATCTTTTCAGTTGAACCCTAGACTTTCTCAATTTCAGATGATCGGCATTCTTCTCTCCGATTACATCCCGAACACTCTCCTTTCGCATCTCTACGATGGAGGACTTGGGAATTACACGGAAAGGTATACTAAAGCCGTGATAAGTACGAAAAGAAAAGAAAAGACTTTCTGAACAGCCTAATAGGTCCTAAGAATTGCCTGAAGTATCCCTTTACCATTAGGTTGGCAAGGAAGCTTGTAGAAAATGTTTGCACGGTGATTTCTCAAAAATCAAGCCATTAAGCCGCAGACTTAGTCACTTTTTTAGTGATCAGCCTTTAGACAAGTTTTTAATTGATTAATGAATAGGCAATGGGTCCCATTGAAAACCTAAAAGTAATTCAAATCGGGAAAATTTATGATTAAGGCAAATTTTATCTAATGCTTTAACTCTTCAGAATCACCAATTTTAGCAAACACTCAGTGCCAAGAAGATGACATCAAAAAATTATTTTTTGAAATACAGCTTCTTTGTAAAAGAATTTTTGTCCAAAAATAGAGATTATAGAGCGTATTGCTCATTTATACTAGCTTTACATCATAAGGAATCGTTTTTCTAGTGCAAAATCGTTTTTCTGCTGCAAAAAGTGAGCTGAATTTAAGCTGGAAGAAAATAATTTATCAAAAATCTCTATAATTTTAAGGGAAAGCTGCACTCCTTTTTTACGAGTAATTTCTTGGAGTTGACTTGTAAATAATAGAAGAAAATGTTCTCGAATTGGTGGATTCGTTTTGAAGAAATTCTAGCCAAACTTTTTCCCGAAAACTTTCTTTCCAACCTAATAGATGGTAGGTTTTTAAACAAAGCGGCTTTCAAATCAAGCACCAGAAAGCTAAAGGAAGCTAAGGGAAGCTTAAGAAAGCTAAAGGAAGCTAAGGGAAGCTTAAGAAGGCTAAAGGAAGCTAAGGGAAGCTTAAGAAAGCTAAAGGAAGCTAAAGGAAGCTTAAGAAAGCTAAAGGAAGCTAAAGGAAGCTTAAGAAAGCTAAAGGAAGCTAAAGGAAGCTTAAGAAAGCTAAAGGAAGCTAAAGGAAGCTTAAGAAAGCTAAAGGAAGCTAAGGGAAGTTTAAGAAAGCTAAAGGAAGCTAAAGGAAGCTTAAGAAAGCTAAAGGAAGCTAAGGGAAGCTTAAGAAAGCTAAAGAAAGCTAAAGAAAGCTTAAGAAGGCTAAAGAAAACTTAAGAAAGCTAAAGGAAGCTAAGGGAAGCTTAAGAAAGCTAAAGAAAGCTAAAGAAAGCTTAAGAAAGCTAAAGAAAGCTTAAGAAAGCTTAAGAAAATAGAACTTAAATAATAGAACAAAATGTTCTTGAATTGGTGAATTCGTTTTCAAGCAATTCCAGGCAAACTTTTTCCCGAAAACTTTCTTTCCAACCTAATACTATTTGTATTGTTTGTATAAGCTTTTTATAATGAAAAATATTCTTGGTATAACGAAGAAAAATCCTTTAATAGTTCATTATACCAAAATCGTACTGTACTCAAAAGTGATGATGAGCATTTCCTTCAAAGGCGAGATTTGAGTTTCAAAATTTGTTAGATCTATCCGTAATAAAATCATACAATTTTTTGAACCATTGTTCCATCAAAATATTACTGGGAATTCCCAAGCTTCAAGGGACAAATTACAGTCCCAAAAAGCCTTTGCTTCATAATTTCAAGTTTCATTTTTGACAAGGAGTTGGAACTCGGGCAGATCAAAAACTGATGCGCCGCCGGGACTCGAACCCGCGACCTTTCGCTTACCGTGTGCTAACCGTTACACCACAACGAACATGATTGCTAATGTGCTAGCCGTTACACCACAACGGACATGATTGCTAATGTGCTAACCGTTACACCACAACGCACCTGATCTCCTTTACTCCAGATTTACTTAATTACTTAATACAAGCTTTGAAGTTCAATTTTTATATCGTTTTAAGCTTTATACTTTATTGCCTGTTCAGAATCTACGCCGATCGAGTGCCGAAATTCGCACGAGGACTCGCAAAACTGTTCTGCGCCAAGTGTTTCCTCGAAATCACCGCAAATCTCACAGAGTGAGCTTTACAATTGGAAATTTGGCATCTGTAGAATCTTTGTAAGATAAAACAGTTGTAAAACGAGATACTAAAAGTCAACTTGACGCACATTTTAAGTTTGCTGCAAGAGAAACTTGTAAACTTCAAACGAACCATTGTCATCTTACTGTAAAAGTGTTCAACTCATAGAAAACCGCGAATGCAAATCGACAAACGACTGGGCGCCCGGTTGGCCATCTCCGGCAACGTTAGTCTGACTTTCCAGAGCTCACAAAAAGTTCACGATCTACTTTATGCTGATGTCACTTTGCACATTACGGTTTGTTTTCTGAATAAGTTAAAAACCAGATATTTCTATTTAAAAATAAGAAGAGTATTTCTTTATCGAATTTTTCGATTTGCTTGAAATCAGAAATCAAACAAAATTCAGCTGAAACCCTCGATTCGACATAGCCGCCTGTATGGGGACATTTCGTTGACAAATGTGGATCTGAATGTGAAAGATGTAAGTGGAGAAAAATTGCAATTGACAGTGTCTGAACAGCTCAACAATAGTGCAAAGAAAAGTAGTACATTTTCAGATCGGAATGGGTGGCTTGTTGGCTTTCCCGCTGGAGAAAGTGGCGAATGTGATTGTGCCGAGAGCCCTTTGGCCACAAGTGAAGAAACGATTGAGATTCGCATTGAATAAACGAGGTGAGTAATAGGGATTGGATATTAGATTCTACAGGATGATCAAGAATTACTGCAACACACAAAAATGCCTGACTTTTAACCAAATATGCAACCCATCTCGAAAAGTTAACTTTAATATCTTAAATATTCAACATATATTAGTAACAAACAAACAAATTAATAATTAAATTCAAATTTGCCTCCATCGGCATTCAGACAGGCCTGCAAACGTTTGGGAAACGCGTTGACCGATAGGCATCATCGAGGGTATCCTATGCTTTGATGAGCGCCTTCTTCAAACTTTCGATATTTTTTATGTGGTTTTGCACATGCCCTGGCTTCAAGAACACTCCAGACTGAGTAATCCAATGGGTTAAGATCGCGTGAGCTGGGTGGACACTCAGAAAACGAGATGAAGTCCGGGAAGTCCGGGAATCGCTTGTCGCTTGCCCTTCGCAGCAGCTGATAGTAATTGAGATTTGTTCTTCTTGTAGGGCTTCATTTTCAGCTTTTTCTTGATGATTGTGTTGACGGAGCTTCTCTTCAGACCCATTTTCTGTGTCATTCCTCGAGCCGATTGGTTAGGCTCAGGCTCAGGGCTCAATCTTAGACGATCGCGCACTTTCTTGACATTAGCCGGAGTAACCGCTGTTCGTTTCACACCTCTTCCAGAATGATCAGTTCCTTGGATCGATCAGAAACTGTGCCCAGAGTTTCATAACGTTGAATGGTTCGAGAAACGAGGCTTCTGAGGACATTCAGGCGCTTTGAGATCTCGCTCGCCTGAACACACTGCCGCTTGAGCTCAAGGATCGATTGTCGATGTGGAGACGCTTTCACCATTCCTGAAAACAAGCATATTAATGTATTGAAAGTTAGTAATTATAACATAAAATAAGAAAAATACACAAAAACCATAAAAACAGGTAAGCAAAAAGTGAAATGGGGCTCATAACATAATACGACGTTGTTGCGGTAATTCTTGGTCACCCTGTATAATAAAGAAGTAAAGGAATTAGTAAGAAAAGATCGATTTCCGGAGAGGGGATTTCCGTCGACGTTGATTTCCTCGACTGATAAGATAGATTTTTTTTGTACTTTTTCTTGCCCAGCGTCAAGTATTATAGTAGAAATCTTCAGGCGTTCAATTGCCGATCATCTGCGGGGTCGAATTCGAGAGCATGACACTCGATTACACCAATCATGCTGGTAAGATTATAGAATTTCAAAAATTCCCACTTTTCCACATGTTCGGGTATTCATTTTGAATCTCCTGACTTGACAAAGTATTATAGTTATTATTATCCTAAAAGTCATCTATTTTCGAAAACTACCGTAACCCACCCATCATTTTTCATTCGATCAGCACATTTCAGTGGTGCTGAACACGGATTTCACATTTGATCTCCCGCGTTTCATCCGAAAGTTCCGACTCTACTTGCAAGAGAAAGGGAAACAAGGGCTACCCGTTCCACAGTGGAAATCGTAGAGCTTTCAAAAGCACAGAATTCTTTTTATTTCAATTTTTTAGTCATACAATCCAAATAAAGCTTGTTATTTTACCAGCAGGTAAACGATTTTATGAATTGAGTTCAAGGTTGGTCATGAAAGTGTTATTGTAACGCAATTGTTTATTCCAAAAAATCTCTCAATTGCGGTGATGAGTCACACAAAATGCGTGATAATTGTGCTGGTTTAATCACCAATTTGCCGAATACAAGCAGGAACACTTTAATCGAATAAAGAATCCGATTTTTAGCATAAATAACACTGGAACTACAAATCTTTGACTCTTTCATACATTTTTCTGAAATTGTTCTTATATATGTTACGTTCGTTATTGAATTTCGTCCGATTCAGAGCCTGTTATTGAATCTATTCAATAGGACTATTCAAATAGGACAATAGGGTTCTGAATCGGGTTTGTCTGGCTTTGAATGGGACGAATTTCAATCGGACGTTCAATCAGACGTTCAATCAGACGTTCAATTAGACGTTCAATCGGACGTTCAATCGGACGTTCAATCGGACGTTCAATCGGACGTTCAATCCGACGTTCAATCCGACGTTCAATCGGACGTAACATACAACCATCAAAAAAAGTCTTGCACTATTGTCTCCTAAAGGCTTAAAAAAATTTCTCGCAAAGCGTTTCAGAGACTTTTTGGCAATTAATTCTACCATTGTGGTCTAGTTTCCGAATAAACAAGTGAAAAATTGATTCCTAACAGTAAAAATAGCAAAAGAGTTAACGACTAACAAAAAAGCAAGCAAAAAGTCTTGCACCAAAAAATTCAATAATTTTAACACTTTGTAGCAGCACCTTTTGCTTGAATGATCTTTTGTAGTCTTCTGGGCATCGATAAGACCAATTTGAGCAACACTTGTTGAGAGATTGAATGAACATTCAATCTCTCAACAAGTGTTGCTCAATCCCTGTTCCATTTTGGCCTTTGCATAAGGTAGCATGTGGGTCTCTAATATGCCCTTGTGCTTGTGAGCATCCATAAATCCGTCTATCAAGACTAGCGGACTAGCTTCGGACGACGACATACAACCTAAACATAGATAGAATTAGGCACAAAATAAAATTCTGCCTATCTAATGATCAATCTTAAGACTAGATAGGCAGTTCGGTTTTACCAGCAATTCTAAATAACATGTGAATGACAGAAGAAAGAATTGTTTTCTCTTTCGCAAAATGTTTTGATCGGGAGAGCTGGGCCCGGTTTACCAACTTAAGTCCCTGACTCAAAGGGTGACCTAAGACAAGTCACTTTTCACCAAACTTAAGAATTTGATTTAAATCACTGACTTAGGAAATTCCGCTAAGTTAGTGACTTAAGAAATAAAAAGATAAGTCAGTGACTTAAGGTGAAACCGGGCCCTGGCCTTGTCCAACATCACGATTAGAAAGCAGTTTTTTTGTTTGCTATTTTTAGATCCGGTGAAGGCGGCAAAATAGCGAGCATTGTCGACGAGGAAAAACTGAAAAAAAATATAAATGATCAATCAGAGTTGGTAGGAAAGTGTGTTGAAAAGTGCAAATTTGGCGTAAATGAGACGTGGCGCAAATAATTTGGCGGTTTCACCGGCTAGCACCGCATTTTATTTCATTTTAAATACAAATTTCTCAAGATTCGCCGTAAATTCTGTGTACAAATTCAAATTTAGCTATGCAGATTTTGCAAGATCGTCTGCGTGGCAGTCCATTTGCTCTGAAAAGAAAAGATATTCAGTTACTTAATAAAAATGGACTGTAAAATGAATATCGCTCTCACTTGCGCGGGGGTGGGACAAATGCGACCTTTTTTTGCGCACCTGTACAGCAAAGGCCTTAGAGCTTCAAAAATGTTTTCATAAGGGAATCGTATGCGTAGATTCCGAATTTCGACAAATCAGACCTAGCTGACACATCAAATCTGAGCTAATAGGCAAAAACTGTGGAAAAAGCGTTAAGTTGCGTAGTTTTTGTCTTTTAGCTCAAATTTGACGTGTCATAGCTGATTTGTCAAGGTCTGATTTGTCGAAATTCGGAATTTACGCATACGACTCCCTTATAGGGAAACATTTTTGAAGCTCTATGACCTTTCCTAAGGCCTTTTCCAGCTAAAAAAGGTGCCCAAATGGCCATTTCCGCAAAAAAAAGTCGCATTTGTCCCACCCCCTTTGCGCCTGTGGCATTTTCATGCTATGTGTTCATTTTGCGTTTTGCGAGTTCTCCTAAAGCATTTATTTTTGCTATTAGTTCATCGATTTCAGTTTAAAACTTCCAGCAACTTCAATTAGTTTACAGCTTTCTTTCGAATTTCATCCTTTTTGTTTCCCAAAAACGAAAGATGACTCATTTCTAAACAATGTAACAGTTACCAGTGGCTTCTTCTCTTCATTTCTTCATTCGGGGTGATTGTTCATTCCACTCACCTTTCGATTTCCCCCTTTTCTCTCTCCATTGAGTCATCTGACAAACAGAAAAAGGATGAATCGATCGACTCTTTTTCCCTTTTCCTCTCATCCATCTCATCCCGCTCCTTTTCGCCATCATATAAATCATGTAAACATCAAATCGTTCTTTAAACCGCCATTTAAAACACGTTATTCTTGTTTCCACACATTTGTAACATTTGATAAAATTTATTTATCGTCAAATTCTTCTTATAGCTTATAGCTATCTTTTCTATAAAACTTCTGTTTTCCATGGCTTGTTTTTTTGCACTTGTTCTCTCTATTCCTTTGCTTTTCACCCTGTTTATTGTTGATTTCGTCACTTTTCAGGAGACAAACAAATCCGCCTCTCGATTCACTCAAAAACAACTCACATGTACTCTTCTCTTCTTTTGGTTTTTGTCTGTGCCGCTTTCGCCACCATGAAGTGAGTTATTTAAAAGTTTATTCGTGTTTAAGCGCCGCATAGTTTGCTATTCTTATACTATATACTGTCAAAAAGCTAACATGACCATGTATGTTCTTTGAAAAGCTACAATATTTATGTTAACATATATGTTCTTTTAAAAGCTACAATCTTTAGACTGTTAATATATTTGTTTTAAAAGCAAATAAGAAAATTTCCATTCTTGGTTAAACAAAATCAAATAGTAGTCCAACTCTAACCTTTGACCGTGCAACGAAATTTTATTTGTCCAGCTTACATGTTACTTTTTAGTGAGACGAAGCCACCGATGCCGGGAGCCCCCATTGACATCAAGGATCCAAACAATGATCAAGAGCACATGGTCAGTTTGATTTTCTTATAAACTCAACAAATAAATTTGCGTGTTTGCAAAGCTTGAAGCTTTTATAGAAAAGATACTAAACTAGATTCAAGTCAAGGAAAATTGATGCTATGAGATAGCTATATCTAATTATTTCATTTCATCTCCAAGCTATATCTAATTATTTCATTTTAGAATCGCGTTTGGGGAGCCGTTAACGGTGAATTAAACAATCAAGCCAGCAACAACGGACCCTATCACTTTGTTCCAATTAAGGTAGTTTTACAGTGTGTTTTGTAAAAAACGTTTGTTTTTCAAGATTCTATCTGCCAAGTCGCAAGTGGTGGCCGGAATGAAGCACATCTATGAGGTCCTTGTTGGCGAGAGCAACTGCAAAAAAGGAGTAAGTGTTTTTTGATAAAGTTAGCTAGGTAAATTAGGCTGTTGACGATTTTATTGTAAAAGTGAATTTAAGAAATTGGATTTAACGATATTATACGCTTTAATTTAGGAAATGCAAGCCACCGAGCTCACACAAGCCAACTGCAAGCTCCGTGATGGAGCCAATCGAGCCGTAAGTTCTTTTGCTTAAATTATTGTCCTAAAAACTAAATAGTGCATCAAGATTGTTTTTCTCGGTAGTTTCAACTGACATTTGACAAAGTATGTAGTGGTTCTAGTCTTATTTGAAATTTTAGTATTCAATATTCAGGCAAACAAATCTATTATAACTTTTTTTAGATCTACAACTTGTCGGTGTGGGAGCGACCATGGGACAACTTCACTCAATACACCGCAGAGAAAGTTCGCACTGTTGATGCCAAGGAAACCTTCTAAATGCTTCATCAACTATTTTGAGCTCGTTTAGGGTATCTTTTAAGTTTTTCGTCCTACTTTATTAACGTTTTTGGTCAGAAATCGTCTTTCCTATCCATAAATTTCTTCAGCAATCATTCCAAAAACATTTTTTAAACTCTCTTGGGTCTATTAGCGGGCATTTTTACATTGATAGTTGTATTTGATTCTTTTGTTCAAAATGACCTTTGTAAATAAATCTATTTTATTGTGTTTAGTGTTAGAGTGATCGCTCTGTGGTTTTCTGGAAATCCATGGAATAATTTATTCAAGCAAATAACCCCAAAAATAAGTGGATCAACAGCAAAATATCGTTTCATTGGCAGGTATGCATTTTATTGCAGCATCAGTGAGGCTAAAATGTTGTAGTCATGTTAAGAAGTGACCTTCGTCCATATTTGGTAAGTTTAGCATTGATACAGTACAACTTATATTTAGTTGTGTAAACTGTTTCGGATTTAAGTTCCAATCTGTATGTCAATTTCTAGTTCTAGATAATTGGTTTGGCTGACTGTTGCCCGACTAATTGTAGGACGTCGAAAGACGTGCACTCTAGAAAAGGCTATCATAATCTGGCTCGATAAAGAAAATACGGTACGATAATTTTACCCAAGCGCACCTTTTAGAAAACGATCTAGTTGAGAGGGTCACAGTCTAGTCTCTATTTATGTTAGATGTTTATGCGCTGGTGATCCATCCAGAGAAATCGGAACCATAGTTTAGAAGGACGGGAGCTCGATCCACCACACAATAGCTGTGAACACAGTCTGTCCATCCACACAATCCCTCCAATCCTTCACTCTAATTCCACTCCACTCCTATGTTTATCCACTCCTCCACCGATCCTTCCTCATCTCATCTCCAATCTCATTTTTTGGCCTATCTGGATCCCCTTTGTGAGGGGTGAGTAGTGTGTGTTTTGAAGACTCGAGAGAACACTGAAAGTGTTAAAAATGAGACTAGAAAGTTTTTTTTTTGAGCAAACTGACAATTTAGAGATGGAGCTTTTGAAGAGGAAATGGTTATCACCTATTTGATGAGTCACTTACTTTATGAGTTTGATTTCGACCGGGAACGCGAAGAACGCGAAGAATGCGTACGAGAGCGACGAGGAGAGTACTGAAAATTGAGTGGTGATACGGTTTTTGATTTGAACTTGGGAATTCTTAAAGCTATTGGTAAAACGGTACTTTACATTAGGCCAAAGAATATTTGCATTTTAAATGACGTGAGGAAGAATTGTTCTAAAGTTTTTTTCTAAGCCTGGCTGTGACTCCGGTCTAACCTGGTTATGGCTCTAGGGAGACTAAAATCATACTATTTCGAACCATTATGAAAATTAGAATCTCTCGTATGCTAATTTTCAATTTGATCTCGCTAGAATCACGGGCACAAAGAGTCCCTTGCGATACAAATTCCATGCTCACTATTAGACTTTTTTTAGAGAGACTTTTTTCTGGATTACTGTAATGAACTACTGGCTATTACAGTATCTTTAAAGATTCCAATACCTGCGGTGAATTGCGACTTTTTTGTGGTGGTGAACGAGAGCGATCCCGGGAATTTCCCCGTCCACTCACCTCGGTGACCCGAACATATGCTGTATCACCCTAAAAAAATGTTTTGTCTTAAAAGCTGACGAAGATTTTAGAAACAAAAATCTTTGCACAACATTCGAACCTCGTGCGAACGGAACTTCGTATCATCAAGTTTGCGAATCGCTCGACGAACCGCGTCCGAGCTAAACAATTTGGAAAATTAAGCCGTTAACCAGTTACGTTCTTTTAATTATTTTTCGATTTTTCAGATTTATCAGATTTCAGATTTATCTAGTAATAAGCATGATTTTTATAGCCTAACCAACTGTTATTGTTGGCTTGATTGGCTTGATTTTTACCTTGTATACTCAACAACTCCACTCCCGTCTCCGTAAACGTCCGCATAGCACACATCGCCCGCGTCTCGCATGTGATCCTGTAAATTACAAGTTTAGATTTTTAGTTGCTATAAATATTTGGATGGCTTTTAATCGTAGATGAGTTTTAGAGAGTAAACTATTAAAAGATAAGCTCAAAAGTAGCGCTATTATTTTAGAATTAATGGGAAATCCCGCTAAACTTGAAACGAAATCTCTTTCAACGCTTTTTTTATTTTCTTTATGAGCGCGATTTCGTTGAACGCGTACGAGAGCGACGAGGAGAATACTGAAAATTGAGTGGTGATACGGTTTTTGATTTGAACTTGGGAATTCTTAAAGCTATTGGTAAAACGGTACTTTACATTAGGCCAAAGAATATTTGCATTTTTTGAATGACGTGAGGCAGAATTGTTCTAAAGTTTTTTTTCTAAGCCTGGCTCTGGCTGTGACTCCGGCCTAACCTGGTTATGGCTCTAGGGAGACTAAAATCATACTATTTCTAACCATTATGAAAATTAGAATGCCTCGTATGCTAATTTCCAATTTGATCCCGCTAGAATCACATGCAGAAAGAGTCCCTTGCGATACAAATTCCTTTTAATCGTAGATGAGTTTTAGAGGGTAAACTATTAAAAGATAAGCGCAAAGTAGCGCTATTATTTTAGAATTAATGGGAAATCCCGCTAGACTTGAAACGAAATCTCTTTTTTTATTTCTTTCGCGTTTTATTAGCGCTTCATTTTTTAGGACTCTAAATTCTTAACTGGTTTTTATTTTTTGATTTAGAGAATTGAATAGAATTATGGGATTTAAAGAGAATATTGAATTTTACTTTATTTTCAAAGCTGTTAGCCTAAAAATTTGACTCAGAGGCTTAATATCACAATAAAAACGTTGAATATTCTTATAACTACTCAAACCGGTACCAGGTAATCGAAAAATTACCTAAATTTTAGATCTTTTAGAGCAAAAAATCTTGATCTTTTAGCAAAAACATAACAAAAACAAACAAAAACAGAAGAAATAAGATCAAACTTGACTGTATTTTCAGAATGGTATTTGAAAAATGATCGCCCGAATAACTGACTGATTTGTTCAATGCGAGAGGCTCATTTAGAGGCAGATTTTCCTGCGAGAGGCAGATTCTTAAAAACATCACCTTGAGATCTTGCCACGAGCCTGTTGAGGGTAATCCAGTGATCTTCACTCGATAGCCCGATCTTTTTGGCGCTTGCCCACCACGACGAGATCGATCACCACCGCGGTCCCGATCCCCACGATCCCCACGATCCCCCCGATCACCCCGATCTCGATCACCGTTCATCGGACGGCCACCTGAACTTTTGAAATGTAAATTTACATACACGAGGATACTTTTAAATTTAAAGAATTTTTTGGCAATGATTATTGTATTTTTTACAGATATAAGTTAAGTTAAACTATTACTAAACTACAACTTTGTCATCCTTGCAATAATGCAATAAACTAGTGTCTCGGAGGAATCAAGTCTCTGCTTTGAAAGATAATACATCTCTTGTCTATACTTTACCAGGTCCACGTGGTCCAACTCCTCTCGGGAACTCAACTCGTAGACGATAACCATCAAAGTCGTAACCATCCCTGCTCTCATAGTCATTCCATACTCATAATCAAAGTCTTACCTGCCGCGCACCGCATCCTCTGCATCTCTGAAATTTTGATTTTGCATTGGTTGAGATTCGTTTCAAAGTTGGATTCGATTGCTCACACAATCGGTTCTTCTTTGAATCAAGTTTTATCACAAAAGTTTGACTACAGTCTGACTGTAGAGGACATTAGCACTGAGGGCATAAAGCCTAGTTTCAAAGGATTCGACTCTACAGCGAGTTTTACGAAACTAATACAAGCTGGCTATCGTGCTTTACGTTGACGATTTTTTTAACCAAATGAAATTGAGCTAACAAGATTTACTAGTTTGTTTCTTACATTTCTATCATTGAATTTTCACCCACCTCGGATCGTCATAGTCGACAAATGCAAACGCGGGCCCTCGCCCGTTTTTAATGTCAATCCCGCGAATTTTCCCGTATTTGTCGAAAACGGACTCAATATCTTTCTCCCGCATATCGTTCGGCAAATTCCCAACGTAGATCCGGCACTCACGAGACATTTTTGACCTAAATATTTGTATATTTGGTTGACTAAAGAGAATTTTTATCAGAAATTGATTAATTGAAAGCCATTGAAGAGAGAAAGCTGAATAAAGCTGATTAAGTTGAAACATAATATATTTCGCCCTCCTCGATCAACTTTCGACACCTTGTTCTCAGCCGCATTTTGCTATATTTTTATGTTTCATATACCAAAAAATAGAAGAGATTAAGGGCTATCTTTTGGTATATTAAACATAAAAATATCTAAAAATGGGATTAAGAAGAGAGCGTCTAAAGTTGGTCAAGTATTTCCTCTAATAAACGCCTCGTTTATTAGAGGAAATACGGTAGTCATTACACGTAAACAAGACAAACTCTGTTCTAACAAAGCCAAATGCAATTTAATTTTAAGAAAATGTGTTCCAATCAATTGGGATTTTTAGAGGCTACGGAGAAAAAAGTGTCAAAGAAAACTGGAGATGCAGCGACGCGAGGGGGAAGATGCGTCGCGTTCAAGCGCAAAAACATTTGAAGGGGAAAGGGTGCAGTTTTTAAAGAATTCAGGACAGCCACTCGTAGACTGTCTTCTGGTAGAATTCGATTTTTGATTTTCCTGGAAAACTGGAAAACTAGAAAAACTAGAAATAAAGAAAACTTTGCTCAAAAAGTAGATAGTTTTAAAAAATCTAAAAAAATGTTTGTTTGCATGATAAAAAAAAGACTGTTTCAAAAATTATGGTAGTTGAATGGCTCAAAAGTTCACCAATCCCCCACTCACGATTCTTTCGTTTAGTTCAAAAGAAAGGCTTCTAAATTTATATTAAGTATACTGAATAAAATTGGTTTTTGTACGATGACTGTTTCCTCTCCAATCTTTTATCCGGACGGAGATGCTTTCTCCTTAATTGATCGTCATATCTGATCACAATCGACAAACTTTTTCCCAAATTGAAGTGTATTCGTTCCTAGTTGTAGACGGATATGGACTAGAATTTGGGTTAAGTTAAAGAGAGCGAATCCTTTTGATATCCGCCATCTAGTACCCATACCGTAAACACTGTAATAGTACCCCACCCCCTTGTACAGTCACGTAGTCGCAAAAGTTTTTTAGTATTTAATTTTTTTCAAAGCGGTACTTTCAAAAAATGCGTCTTTGGTATCAAAAAATAGCTGAATTTCAGGGCTATTTTTTGATACCTAAGCGCGCATTGTAGCATAAGCCAGTGTCGAGAAAAACTCGTTCAAAGCTAGACTACTCAACACTCCGCACCGTCATTATGGGGCTGGGGTACTATTACAGTATTTACGGTAGGTTAAAACAAAATTAGTACACTGATAGGTTAAAAATCGTATTTAAATCCAATTTACAGCTTCCCCGAAACGATCCCGAATTGCCCGCGGCAATGCGGCGAGGCTCGTTGCGTGTGCAAGGCTGGCTTCGTCCGACAATCGAACGATGAGAACAAATGCGTGCCGTTCGACTTTTGCTCGGCCGAGGTGAGGAATAGATTTGATGTACTTTGTACCCACAAATCTCGTAAACATCCCCTTTCTGGCGCACTCAATTCCCCATTTTCTTCTCATAGCAGCGATTTGGTGGAGGAAATGGAAGGAAGAAGGGGAAATGGAAGAATTCAGTGCGCCGGAAAGGGTGCGTTTAAGATATTTGTGGGCACAAAATACATAATTCAACTTTTTAACACCCCGACAACCCAACTCAACTCCTCTACTCCTCTAACGTATTAGAGGGGAGTCCCTGTGAACCTGCAGTTGCATAGACCTGAACTGCAGTTGCGTAGACCCGGAAGGTATGTATCTTTATTTACAGTAGTACGATAAGACGAACAGATTACAAATGAGTGAAAGGGGAAGGGGGATTCCAAGTGAGAGCCTCACTTTTCCTCCTAGGCAATCCCAAGGACCGCCCTCTCGGCGATGAAAGGGATAAGCACAGGGGAGAACACATTTACATAAGAATAGACAAATCATTGAATAATAACAATAGTAAATTAAATATCAGTTTGGCTTGGAGCTGACACCTGCAATCTGACCAATCAACTTGAAAACAATAGTTTTATTCGATTTACAAGAAGTGTATCTCCTACATATGAATGAAAAAAAGAGATCCAAAAGTCTAGCAAGAAACACTTAAATAGAGCCACGTTAAAGATATTCATTTAGCGGGGCTAAATACCCTATACGAAAATTGGCAATACAAAACGCATTGATTGTTTAGATCTCAAATTTGAATTTGGTGTCGATTATTCGGCACATTAAGAGCCAAAATGATGCCTAAACTTTTCCTAGATAAATCTTCCTTCATTAATTCAAATGGGGATTCAAATGGGGATTCAAATGGGGATTCAAATGGGATTCAAATATTGAGTCAATCATTGGAGTACGGTTCTTCAGTCTTCAATAGAGGCAGCTTAATGTAAAAGTGTTCAATATTTATGAGGACTAGTCTTAGGCTTAGCCTAGTCTTAGACTAGACTAGGCTTAGTGCTCATTTTGTACAAGTTTAATGCTAAAAAGGAAACACATTTATCAATACGCTCAACGTTAACAACGTTTAACAACTAACAACTCAACTATTTTCAAAATTATTGCTTTTTGCGCTGTTGTTTGTCTAGAAACGCCTGTGGAAAGCGTCTACTATGGCCTTTTGGTGCTTTCTTAACGATTCTTTTCATCAATTTTCATAAACCAATTTTGAGAGTGCTAAACGAGCTGCAAGCTTAAAAGTCTCCCTAAATTTTGAATATCTTTTACAGAATTGAAATATGATGTTTCAAAATGAGTGGTATGAAAATAAATAAACATTTGCTAATCGGCTCATTTCTGTATTCAAAAAACCAGCTAGCCAAGCTTTTTTCGCATGGAAAATGGAAAATCATAGCTGCAATGATTTCCGAAAACGAACAATGTAAGCACAGTAGTATCAAAAATTATAATCTATTCTTCTTGGCGAATAAATTTTCTAACCAAAACCTATTTTTGAAACTCCCGTAATCTAACCGCTAGTTTTCATTCGATCAGCCAAATTTTTCTATCATTCGATGAGAGATCTATGTATCATAAGTAGAGTGTGTTCCTCGCGAGTGAAGTAATTACTCGAGTAAACTTGCATGAGTAATTTTTTACTCGATTAATCGACGTTTTCACTCGAGTAAACTACGAGTAATCCTCTTTACACGTCGAGTAAATTGAATACCTTTACTTTGTGGCGGGAATTTGCCACCAAATCACTTAAACGGCTGAATATCTTTAAAAAGAGTCGTTTATAAGTCGTCGCTCGTGATTTTTTGCGCCATTTCTTTGCAATAATTTTCGCTAAAAGTACGGTAACCTTTCCTAAGTAGGCGTTTTAAAAAAAACGCATTATACTCTTGAGGAACACACTCTACCATAAACTAGCTTCAAAATAGACATTTTTTCGAGACTTCTTTTTAAAATTTGAGAAATTGTTTGCTTTTTTTGATTGGTTTTAAAGAGTAGATCAAATTAAATCAAATTAAATCAAGTTAAATGCCAATTTTTTACTCGAGTAATAGTTGAGTAATGCGTTTTCTAAAAAGTGCGCCTGCGCGAAAAAAATATAAAACCAATTTTTTGTGCAGGTTTTTCAAAAAAAAAAATCATCTTTTACATACGAGAAATTCAGTCGCTTTTCATATTCAAGAAACGTATCGATGCTTTAGATCTAGTGGCTCTTTGCCGTAAGTAATTGGCTTATTGATTTCAGTATGTATTGTATGATTAAGTATCACTGTGCATTTCTCTATGATTTCTTTCACTTTATCGTTTGAATAAAGTATTATTATTATTATTATTATTATTGGAAGGGAATTTCCTCACCAAACCAGTTAAACGGTTGAGTATCTTTAAAAAGTGTCGTATATAATGCCGAGCTCGTCATTTTTTTGCAATAATTTTTGCTAAAAGTACGCTAATTTTTTTTCCCAAGTGTGCGTTTTAAAAAGCGCATTACTCGCGAGGAACACACTCTAGCTCCGAGCGTGATTTTGGAGACATTAAAGGGGAAAAGGTAAATGTTTTTGGAGTGGCTGTAACTGTCAATGTCAATAATTGTCTTTTCGGTTCCAATATGGTTCTATTTAGTTTCAATATGGTTCTATGGTTCAAATATGGTTCTTTTAATCATCCTATTCGTTTGGTAGAAAAAAATGGATATCTGCGTGACTTGGGAGTCCTTATTAGTCCTCCTCTTAGTTTCCGTTTTCACATTGAATCCATGTGTAATAAGGCCTCCGTAAGTGCTAACCGTATCCTCAGGTCTATTACCATACCTAACATCAAAACTTATCGGATGTGTTTTGTTGCCTATGTCCGCCCAATCCTTGAATACGCTTCTCTGGTTTGGTCTCCTTCCCTATTATATCTTATTCAAAAAATAGAACGTGTTCAGAGGCACTTCACCAGAATTGCTCTTTATAAAATTAATTTTGACAAATTCTCCTCCTTTACTTATTCTGATAGATTGCAACTTTTTTGTCTTGAAATGTTACACCAACGCCGCCTTATCATCGATTTAGTGGAATGCTTTAAAATTGTTAAAGGCATTCATCCCGACCCCCTTTTTTCTGGTCTCTTTGAATTCGGCTCTCTACGGGGCGCCTCCAGAAGGGGGCCTTTTCTCATACGCCAACCTTCCGTTTCCTCTAAAAGCCCCCACAGTTTCTTTTTTAATCGAGTTATTAAATTCTGGAACTTTTTACCCCCTCATGTTCGTGATATTTCCACCTTGGCTAGATTTAAAGCCGCAATTTCGGCAATTGATTTGACTGCTCTGTGATTCCTTCTAGAGGTATCCATTTATCTTTTGGGTGTGTTTTGAGTGGTGTTCCGGGTAATTATTGTGATTTTGTCTTGTCGCTATTCAACTGAATAAAGCATATATATATTTGGTTTCGATATGGTTTCAATACGGTTCCAATATGGCTCCAATATGGTTCTATGGTTCCAATATGGTTCAAATATGGTTCTATTTGGTTTC